GAGAGTCCGCCTCCAGCTCCACGTCACCTCTCGAGGTCCAAAGGAAGATGCGGTTCAGACAGACCACCTCCTGAACATCACCAGCACTCTTGTTGGGTCCCAACATGCCCTCGAGCTTGACCCGCATGTACTTCTGCAGCTCGCGGTAGAACTCCAAGTTGTCAGTGCGGGAGCCCTTCAGCACGAAGTTGTCGCTGTAGACGTAGGCCACGAGCCTGCTGTCGCCTCTGCGGTATATGCAGGGACACCACGACCCACAGGAGAAACCCACCTTGCCCTCCAGCGTCTCGCGGACCAGCAGCTCGAAGTTCTGGCCTGCGTCGCGGCAGCCGTAGAGACACCTGACCAGCAACCCGCGCACGTTGGGGGGTCAACTGAGCGGGGGTCCTCCGACGGCAGCTTCACCCGCAACTTCCGCTTCATCTCGCAGTGCGGGTGAGCCCTCGTAATGTCCAGGAACATGAGGACGTGCTAGTCCTCCTCGGCGTTCCTGGGCGAGCAGCAGAAGGAAATCAACATCCTGAGTGCCTCATACGGGGGTGTCGCGCGAAACGTCTGCGAGGGGTCCCCGAAATCCATGCTCGTGCGGTGGCGTGTCTCTGCCACGCACAGTCTGCAGCGGACGTTGGGCTTGCGGTCGTCACCGTTGTCGACGCCCAAACAGATCATGGGCGCCGGGTCGCGCCCGGCCTCCTCGCGGCAGCGCTGCTTGGTGTCGTGCACGTGGGCGCCCAGGCCGCGCAGCGTCGATGATCTCCGCGTCGTACTCCGGGCAGGCGTCCCAGACCTGCGGCTCGTCCAGGTGCGGCCCAGCCTCCAGCGCACCCAGCTGGCCGCGGGCGATCGCCTCACGACGCAGCCCACGCAGCACCGCAGCCACAAGCTTCGGCGGGCACCGCTCGATGGTGCGCATGCCGCGCCGACCTAGACCGACCGTCTGGCAACGCCGAACACAACCAGGACACCGACGCGTCAGCTCCCGGGCAATCTCGGCAGAGTTGGTCAACCACCCCGTAGGCTTCTTGACCGGCGCTGGGCCGATGGCATCATTGCACCACAACCCATGCGCACATGGATCACACTCGACGTAGTGTACTCCTGGCATCTCGGCGATCTCTCGGATCATCCAGAGACGCCAACTCCTCGATGATGCTGGCTGCTCGTGCAAGGAAGAAGCGGCCAGCCTTGATCTGCTCCTTGTAGCGCTCGGCACAGAAGACCAGGTGGACGATGCCTCGCTCCATGATGGCGTTGACGTCCACACCCTGGACCACGCTGAGGGCCTGCAGGTTCGACCACGGCGCGCGCATCGGGCTGCCGGTGATCAGTGGCGGCTGCTCCAGCTCGATCGTTGCTTGCGCCTGCTGCCTGTCGCCCTCCTGGCTAAAGTCGCAGCCGGTCCTGATGTCGTAGGCTGTGCCCTGCTCGACGTCGAAGGCACTCGACCGAGACGTGAAACGCCCTGGTCCGGACAGCTCGCTGACGGCCACCCTCCAGTCGCCGAAAGCCGCCAGCGGCGCACAGAGCTCCAGCGAGTCCGCGTCCATGGCATCCCCAGCTCCAGGCGGCTCCTGCAGAAGCCCGCTCAGCCCAGCAGTCTGCGCCTGCGGCGTGGCTGGCGCCTGCGCTGGCGCCCCCGGCTGCTCACCGCTGATCGCGGGCGCGAGGGGTGCTGGACCGCCTGGCGCCGCGAGGCGGCGCCTCGATGCCTGCGGCAGCTCCGCGGGCGAGCCCCGACGCGGAGCAGCTCGTCGGCCAGGTCGCTCGATCTCCATCGGCGTCTCGGTCGGGCTGGCAGCTTGAGGCGGTGCCCCGGAGCCCTCGCCCTCCTGGCGCGCAGGCGCCCTGTCAGCAGCCTCCAGCTGGCGGGCCGCTACTCCGAAGACGCGGGGCGCGAGCTCAGGGTCGTTCGCCATGACCTGCTGGGTGAGCTCACGGCACTTCGAGCTGCGGGCCTTGGCTGCTGCGTTAGTGAGGGGCGCGAGGCAGCCCGGGCATCCAACTGTCAAACCGTACTTGGCCAGCTCCACGTTCCTGCGAATGTAGACGTTCCGAGGCTCAGCTGGTACCTGCTCTTGCACAACCATGGGCTGCTGCGCAGCAGGGTCGACAGGAGGTTCGTCGATGACCGTCGGGATGCGAACGTTCTCCGGCTTGTCTGGAGTCGGCATCCACGGCGCGCCCCCGATCGAAAGCAACGGGGCCGCATCGGCCCGCTGGCTCGGCGGTCTCCTCCTGATCGACCGCGCGCGTGCGACCCTGCAGTCGCACGAGCATCTCGCTCGACTTCTCGATGGCGCCTAGGAAGACTCCGATCTTCCAGCGCCCCTCAAACTTGGCGTCGCGCCTCGCACTCGGGAGGGACACGATGATCTCACCGAAAGGCGGCAGCACCTTGCGGAAGGCCTTGCCCTTGTGCCTCTCGTGCGGCGTCCGTCCATCGGCGCCGATCTCGCCGCGATTGATGCATCCTGCAGCGTGGGCAACCAGCCAGGTCAACACTGGATGGTCATTCGGGATGTCTGTGCCGTGCAGCAGGGACAAGGCGACTCTCAGAGACCGTGCTACGCCCTTGACCTCCCTCACTGCTACCTCTGCCAGGCCGTTGCTGGCCCTGTCGTAGGCGGGCGCCTCCTCGGGCACGACCTCGAACTTCAAATTCCTGAGCCGGGTCGTCCCCTCTCGCTTGAGCGCCGCCAAGGCAGCCTCACCATCAGAATTGTCGATGATATTCGGGTGGCCTGTCGCCTCCACCTGACTGAAGGCGCGGGCCACGTTGCACTCATGCTGGATGCCCTTGGACGGGAGGACGTCGGCGCTGACCCGCGAGGTGGCCGAGTCCATGCCGACAAGGATGGGAAGCACGGACTGGCCCGACTCCACCTCCTCCCGCTTCACAAGGTATCCGTAGTCCACCGCGAACGTAAGTATGGCATGCGCTCTCCCAGGAGCGTCCGCTGGGTGACCATCAGCACGGCCACGCCCAGCCAGGCAGCAGTAGCACCAGTCCCTGAAGGGTGCGTGACCTGCTGCTTCGCGTTGCTCGAGCTCTGCCTGAGTAGGTTCCTTCGGCCCACGTCGTGCTCGCACCGGAGCGGGCTGAGACTCGTGACGCTCCTCGACGCCACCCTCGAGCTCGATTGTGCTTCCAACTCCGTCGTCCCCTGCCGCGGCGTCTCCACCTGGCGGGGCAGGGTCGCCTGCGACCGGGCCAAAATGGCCCTCGATGGTCGCAACGTGTCCATCATCAACTCCACGAGGTACCACTCAAGTCACAGAAGCGACGCCATGCAGCGCAGGAGGCCCCACTGCTGGCGCCATCATCGCCGGTCTTACGGCCGCGCCTGTCGCCCGAAAGGGCACACACGCTTCTTGCTATGTAGCCTGTCGCAGCTACTGCAACCCTCGACCGAGCAGAGCGGCAACTCCTTCACGAGTGTCTGGGACATCTGGGTGACCTCCTTTGCTGGCACGATGTTCGCGTCCAAGTCCCACGTGCGCTGCCTCCGCGTGAAGCGGACTGTCTTGCCGCTCTCGATGTGGACGGCGTTGCTGATGTCGTTGCCGTGCTGGTCCTGCTCGAAGACCACGCGATGGCCGCTCTTCACCAGGTCGCAGACCGAGAGCAGCGGTCGCCTGACGCCCGCGACACGGGCCCTGATGCCACGCAACGCACCACCAGTCTGCACCATGAGCTTGCGCTGACCCTCGTCTCGGATCGGCTCACCCGTCGCACTGAGGTACTGCGCTCCCGACGGCTTCTCCGCGATCGGGTAGTCGGTCCCAAGCGAGCGCGGGATCGCCGTGACCGCCGCGCCTGAGTCGATCCCGAAGCGCACCGTCTCGCTGCTCGAGGACACGGCCGACAGGTCGAGCGCCGCCAGGAAGGCCGCCCAGGCCCTCGGGCGGCTGCGGCTCGGCCCTTCGGCGGCGCCTTGCCTGACGCAGCCGTCGAGTTCCACCAGCAGTCACGCTTCCAACGGCCTGTCTTGCCGCAGATCGGACACGGCTTGGTCGGCAGATCATCAGCGCCCTTGCCCTTGCCGGGCCTGCTGGCCTTGCCCTTGCCGCCGCCGGTCTTGCCATTCTTGCCGCCCTTGAAGCCGAGAGCTGCCAGGTGCCTCGCAAGTGAGTCGAGGCCCATCGGTGCTACACCTGTGCCCGCGCTCGCCGTCGTCGCGATCTGGGCCCGCCTGAGGTTCTCGACCTCCGCGATCACCAGCTCCCACGTGTCGAGGCGCTGGCTGTTGAGCGGCAGGTGGTGCCGTAGCGGGCCTTCCTTGAGCGATCGGGCCAGGATGCCTATCTTGATCTCGTCGGGGAACCCGGTGCTGACAGCTTGCTCGTAGCGCTTCGCGTTCCTGTCGAACGAGATCAGCTTCGACGGGGCATCACCTTCGAAATCCCACGAGAACAACTCTTGTAGCAATCCTGCTGCACGGGTCCGACTCTGAGGCTCATGAAACACAACAAGTGTCCTCCAAGCCTCCAGCCCCTCGTTCACTCCAGCACTGACTATGCGGTCGAGCGAGTGGCCTTTGTTCAACATGACTAGCGTATCGTAGAGCTGGCTGCTGAGTCGCACGTGCTCATCTGGCAGCATGGCGTTCAGCACCGGCTCGTCCGAGCGTTCTGCGTGCTCCATGAGGTCCATCAGGGCTGGCTCGCACGCGCTGGCATGGGCACGGAAGATCGTGCTCCAGTCACGCCACGTGCCAGGCTCACCGTTGAAGTCGTGCGCCTTCCCCAGGACCCTCGTGTCGATCAGTCGATTCACTACTGGCTGCTGGCCACCAGGCTGCTCGGCTGGCTTCTGCGGACCGAGCCCTCGGGCCGCCTGAGCCGTAGCCTCTGCTGCCTGCGCTCGGGCCTCGGCCGACTGGGCCTGGGCAGCCAGCTGCTGGATCATCATCTGCTGCTGCTGCTGCTGCGCCGCCGCGAGAGCCTGCTCGATCTGGGCGACGCGAGCCTCGTCCATCTGCGACTGCCAGGCCGCGCGCCTTGACTATCTTGAGAGCTTCGCCCTCGCAATGCCACCTGCGTCTGCGGCGAGCCAGCTTCAGCACGCCTTGCGCGATGTTCGCCCAAGCTTTGTCGGGCTTCGTCGAGACCAGCTGCCAGCAGGTCTCGTCCGCGGCTGCTCCAGCCGCGCCAGCGCCTCCCTGGGGCGCCACGGAGGAATGCACAGCGGTAGTGCAGGCAGGCCGACTCACAACCTCGCTCCGCTACCATGATGCACGGTATGTCCGTTTCTCAGCTTGAGTAAGATATGGTAGTGGTAAACAATAAACGTCACGGCATGCATATCCGAAAGCTACCCGATCAGACGATCTTTTTTGGGCCGTCTTGGGCCCTCTTGGGGCTCTCTTGGGCTGTCTTGGGGCTCCTCGGGGGCGTCTGGGATACTCTGAAGACGAAGCACGGAAGTATGCTGAACATGTACGTTTTACTACGGGAATGGGCAGACTGTTGCCTCTTGAAGGCCCTCTCGGGGCCTTCCCTCTTCGGCCATCTTCAAGCCATCTCGGGCCCTCCTGGGCCTTGCTGAGGCTGTATTTTGGGTCTCTTGGGCGCCCTCGGAACCCAGAAATCAGATTCCCGGAAAGGCTTCCAGGAACATGATTTCGAACGAGGACCTCTTGGGCCTCCCTGAGGCCGTTTTGGGGGCCTCCTGGGCTGGCGTTGGGGCTTCTTGGGCCGTCTCGGGGGGTTCCGTGAGCCCACATGCCGACCCTTTCGAAACGTCTGGGGCCCTCTTGGGTCTCTCTTAGGCTGTGTTGGGGCTCCGCGAGGGCGTCTGGGGCACCGTGAAGACGAAGCCAGCGAGTATGCTGAAAATGTACGTCTCACGATGGGAATGGGCCGATGTTTGCCTCTTGAAGGCCCTCTTAGGGCCCTCGTCGGCCATCTTCAAGCCATCTCGGGCCCTCTTGGGGCGCTCTTGGGCGTCTTCGGGGCCTCTTGAGGCTATCTTGAACATCTGTACGGCCCGCGTGCCGGGGGGTTCTGTGACCCCCCAAAACTCTGGGGGAGCGCCCATGGGGGATGATGGCGCCGGCGTTTGCCCCCCCCCCCCCCCCACCCCCCCCCCCCCGGCCTACTCCGATATATATATATATATATATATATATATATATATATATATTTATATATATATATGTGTATCTATATATACGCACACACATACACGTTATGTTACTCGCCGAAGCATATGACTGCCACGTGCATTCCCAACCTCATAAAATACCTCATGGGGGGCAACCGATGAGGTTGCCACATCTTTGCATTGCATGCTCCGCCTTCAGATGCGCGGGGGACGCGCGGCCTCCGGGATGGGCTCCCATCGCCCCATCTCTCCCGCTGTTCTGCAGGGGGGCCCCAGGGTGACCCGCCACTCGCAAGCCTCGCCAGTTACTTGCAGCGCTTTGGTGATCTTCCTCGGGCCGCCCCGTCCATGAACTAGCGGGGAATTAACCTCACGCCAGCGCATGGGCAAAAAGGAGGACGACCGGGCGAATGCCAGCCAAGGCGCCGCCTACGCGTTGGTGTTGTCCGTCATGTGCGAGATCATCTTCCAGTTCCAGTGGAGGGCGCGTGCCGCCGCCAGTAGCATAAAAACGAAGCGCTTCCCTACTGCGAGTATCGCCGGCTGGTACTCATCCCTGCAGGCTTGCGTGCTAAGGTCGGAGTCCTCTTCAACTCCGATCACCTCATATAAGCTGGCTGCCCACTCGGCCGCGCGGATCCTCTGCAGCGCTCAATGCTCGCCCGTCCACGGAAGCTCTTCCTGGCCGCCCAGGATGGCCACGCGCCCCCCCGGGGCGAGCATGGAAACCAAGCTGGCGGTGAAGTAGGCCGCCCATGCCATGGGTGCTCATGTTGATGCGGATCGTCTCCATTTTCCTTGGGCGACCATTTCTCCTTGGACGCCCCCCATACCTCGGGCTGAACTGCCCCCCCAAGATGGCATGTGAATGCGGCTTCCTCTTCAAATCTGAAAGATGCAAATCGCGCGCTCCATTTCACGACGCAGCGCCGGGGGGGCATTGAGCCCGCCGTTGCGCGGGCGCGAGCGCGAAGAGTCTGAGATGATCCTGAGAGGCTCTGGAGAAGCTCCCAGGGGGCTCCTCCGATGCTTCTGAGAGGCTGCTGAGGGCGGAGCCGATCGCACCTCATGTAGCCGAATCCCACCTCCGAATCTTGCCTGCGGCGGCCGCGTTCCTGCTCCGAATCTTGCCCATCGACGTCCCGAATGGGGCTCCGAATCGCGCCGCGTAAGGGCTCCGAATCTTGCCCGTCGACGCCTCGGATGGTGCTCCGCACTGTTAAAAACAAGACCGAAGATAATTCACCCAACTTTCGCTAATAATTCGGCCGATGTGAAACTGCCATCTTTCGGGGCAGCTTTCGGTGGCCTCGTCCGGTGGCATCTCGGGGGGCAAGCCCAGCGCGCGCGGGTGGCCTGTGTACTTGGGGCCCCGCGGACCCCGCGTCCAGAGCCCTCGACTCAAGGGCGCAGATCTCCTTTGATTCTGGGGCCAGGGCCCACGGACTCCGCGGCGGGGCCCAGGCGAGTCGGGGCCCGACCATGTGCTGCGGCATCGCGAAGAGCGTCCAGCAACGCCAAAGAAACCGCGCGCGAGAACGACATCGAGCAAACAAATAAGCAACCCGGAACATAGCAAAATTCACAGACGTTTCGCTTGGGGTCCTGTTCAGCCCGAGTATTTCAGACACCGCGCGGCGAGCGTCGATCCCCTAGCGGTATTTCAGACACCGCGCGGCGAGCGTCGATCCCCTAGCGGTATTTCAGACACCGCGCGGCGAGCGTCGATCCCCCAGCGGTAGCGTCGATCCCCGAGCGGTATTTCAGACACCGCGCGGCGAGCGTCGATCCCCTCAGCGGTATTTCAGACACCGCGCGGCGAGCGTCGATCCCCTAGCGGTATTTCAGACACCGCGCGGCGAGCGTCGATCCCCTCAGCGGTATTTCAGACACCGCGCGGCGAGCGTCGATCCCTTCAGATTTCAGACACCGCGCGGCGAGCGTCGATCCCCTAGCGGTATTTCAGACACCGCGCGGCGAGCGTCGATCCCCTAGCGGTATTTCTCGGGCTGAACTGCCCCCCCAAGATGGCATGTGAATGCGGCTTCCTCTTCAAATCTGAAAGATGCAAATCGCACGCTCCATTTCACGACGCAGCGCCGGGGGGGCATTGAGCCCGCCTTTGCGCGGGCGCGAGCGCGAAGAGTCTGAGATGATCCTGAGAGGCTCCGGAGAAGCTCCCAAGGGGCTCCTCCGATGCTTCTGAGAGGCTGCTGAGGGCGGCGCTGATCGCACCTCATGTAGCCGAATCCCACCTCCGAATCTTGCCTGCGGCGGCCGCGCTCCTGCTCCGAATCTTGCCCATCGACGTCCCGAATGGGGCTCCGAATCGCGCCGCGTAAGGGCTCCGAATCTTGCCCGTCGACGCCTCGGATGGTGCTCCGCACTGTTAAAAACAAGACCGAAGATAATTCACCCAACTTTCGCTAATAATTCGGCCGATGTGAAACTGCCATCTTTCGGGGCAGCTTTCGGTGGCCTCGTCCGGTGGCATCTCGGGGGGCAAGCCCAGCGCGCGCGGGTGGCCTGTGTACTTGGGGCCCCGCGGACCCCGCGTCCAGAGCCCTCGACTCAAGGGCGCAGATCTCCTTTGATTCTGGGGCCAGGGCCCACGGACTCCGCGGCGGGGCCCAGGCGAGTCGGGGCCCGACCATGTGCTGCGGCATCGCGAAGAGCGTCCAGCAACGCCAAAGAAACCGCGCGCGAGAACGACATCGAGCAAACAAATAAGCAACCCGGAACATAGCAAAATTCACAGACGTTTCGCTTGGGGTCCTGTTCAGCCCGAGTATTTCAGACACCGCGCGGCGAGCGTCGATCCCCTAGCGGTATTTCAGACACCGCGCGGCGAGCGTCGACCCCTAGCGGTATTTCAGACACCGCGCGGCGAGCGTCGATCCCCTCAGCGGTATTTCAGACACCGCGCGGCGAGGAGTCGATCCCCTCAGCGGTATTTCAGACACCGCGCGGCGAGCGTCGATCCCCTCAGCGGTATTTCAGACACCGCGCGGCGAGCGTCGATCCCCTAGCGGTATTTCAGACACCGCGCGGCGAGCGTCGATCCCCTCAGCGGTATTTCAGACACCGCGCGGCGAGCGTCGATCCCTTAGCGGTATTTCAGACACCGCGCGGCGAGCGTCGATCCCCTCAGCGGTATTTCAGACACCGCGCGGCGAGCGTCGATCCCCTAGCGGTATTTCTCGGGCTGAACTGCCCCCCCAAGATGGCATGTGAATGCGGCTTCCTCTTCAAATCTGAAAGATGCAAATCGCACGCTCCATTTCACGACGCAGCGCCGGGGGGGCATTGAGCCCGCCTTTGCGCGGGCGCGAGCGCGAAGAGTCTGAGATGATCCTGAGAGGCTCCGGAGAAGCTCCCAAGGGGCTCCTCCGATGCTTCTGAGAGGCTGCTGAGGGCGGCGCTGATCGCACCTCATGTAGCCGAATCCCACCTCCGAATCTTGCCTGCGGCGGCCGCGTCCTGCTCCGAATCTTGCCCATCGACGTCCCGAATGGGGCTCCGAATCGCGCCGCGTAAGGGCTCCGAATCTTGCCCGTCGACGCCTCGGATGGTGCTCCGCACTGTTAAAAACAAGACCGAAGATAATTCACCCAACTTTCGCTAATAATTCGGCCGATGTGAAACTGCCATCTTTCGGGGCAGCTTTCGGTGGCCTCGTCCGGTGGCATCTCGGGGGGCAAGCCCAGCGCGCGCGGGTGGCCTGTGTACTTGGGGCCCCGCGGACCCCGCGTCCAGAGCCCTCGACTCAAGGGCGCAGATCTCCTTTGATTCTGGGGCCAGGGCCCACGGACTCCGCGGCGGGGCCCAGGCGAGTCGGGGCCCGACCATGTGCTGCGGCATCGCGAAGAGCGTCCAGCAACGCCAAAGAAACCGCGCGCGAGAACGACATCGAGCAAACAAATAAGCAACCCGGAACATACCAAAATTCACAGACGTTTCGCTTGGGGTCCTGTTCAGCCCGACCATACCTCCATCTGGGTCGGCGAGGGGCTCCAGGTGCGGAGCAAACTGTCCATGGCCTCAAACATCGGGAGA